GGCCCCAGCAGTTCCTCAAAGATGGATGTCCTGGCTCCTGGCTTCAGTCTGGGCCATCCTCAAATCATTTTGGCAGCTTGGGGAATGAACAGCAGATGAAAGATCTCTCTCTCTCTTTTATTCTGCCTTTCAAATTAATAAATGTTTAAAAAGAATAACAATAACTTTCCATAAGATATCAATAGGGTTGATAAAGACAAAAACAGAACGTCATAGAAAATAATCATAACTTGGAAAGGGAAAATAAAGTCAGACATCAGATCTTGACCAATAAAATTAAGAAACCTCTGGTGAGACATGATTGCCACCAGCTGCGTGGAGACGAACTTCTGATGACGTGTGTTGTCCTAAAGTTTACTTTCTGACATTCAGCTTGGGAAAACGCCACCCCAGACACTGACATTCCACTGTGCATGATTCATTTTGCATCTGGGAGGGTGATTTGGGACTCTCCCAGGGCCTTCAAAGTGACAGTGATAAACAAGGTGGTGGAGGCAGCAGGTGATAAGGTGGCCAGTGTCCACCAGGAGGAGACGTCCCACCAGCCTGGGCCTGATCCATAGTCAGTGCCGGGCAGCCCCAGCCTGTGCAGGATGCCCCAAGTAAAGACCCTGCACCCCCAGCCTGTGGTAGGAGGATGCGAGGTCTCTCCCACCTGATCACACCAGGTCCCTTTTAATGTCTTCATGTTCATCCTCCCAGCATTTTTCTGTGGAGTTTAGCTGTATGTTCCTATTTTTGTTACCACTATGTTTCTTGTCACCCCTCCATTTGTTTTCACTCCTTCATTCTCTTCTTTCTCAGTCTCTGAACCTCTCCAGATCCCTCACTGCCTCCATCCACTGAGTTCTTTGCTTCTGCCCTATGCTCTGCTCTTTGCTTCAGTACCCACCTGGATGTTTATGACACTGGAATGAATGTGCCTCTAATTTCATGTCATAATTTTTATGTTAATGTTATATTTTTATAGCATCATTCCATTTTAAGTTATTACTTGTTTCAAATTAATATATACACCTTTTTATTTAAAAAGGCTTCAGTCACACTTAGATCAATTGATATCATTTCTAGTTAGAGGTTTTTTATCTTATATTAACTATTACGTTTTCATATATCTGTTGTGTAATTTAAAGTGTCAGACTTTAAATTTTTAGAAATGTAAATGTTCTTATACAGACTTTGCTTTCAGTAACCTTGAAAGTTCCTCAAATCATTTAAATAATTTAGTCAATGTCTCTATGAATATCTTTCTTAAAGCAATTACTCAGTGGTAAAAGACTGTTAATTTCTTTGTTGATATTAATGTTATTCTCTTTTTAAAATAGACCCTTGCAAACGTGTGATGAATAAATGTGGCAAAAGATATTTTTACTCATATCCAACCTCAAATCAAGGATTTTCAATACATAATCATTATATGTTAGCATTGACATTGCAGATCTTTTATCATGTAATGCTAAGCCTTTCTTTTTGCTCTGTTATATAAACATTAACCATTTTTCTCCTCTATTACAGCTGTGGTTGATCTTACACATATCTTCATAATGTTAACCTTATCCTACCCTTTTTTCTTTATTCTGCTCCATGGTATAATGTAGGAGAAAGCATTTTCACACTTTCTTTACAGAAATTAAAATATCTTATTGAAGTTGTATAAACACACATCTAATCTGCTGAAGTTAAATGACAATCACCTCACCAAATGCTTAAGGGAATTGTCACATACTGAGAAAATTCGAGTTTCAACTTCTGTGTAATATTGATAATAGCAAAAGATCTGGAGTTGAAAGTTTTCAAAAAGAAGATGTGGAAACCAATGGGAAGCTTCAGAAGTCTTAGTGGTTTCTGAACCTCAGTTTGTTCAGTAAAATGATTCCCACCTTACCTTTCCAATTGGGTAATTCTCTTGATCTTTGGTAGACTCATTTTGGAGAGCACTGATTCACTTTATAATGAATTTGTGTAGGTTATTCTCCATTTGACGGATGGAGTAGGTAGTCCCATCTCTGTACATTAAGACTTGATTTATTAGCTGTTGCTGTCAGTGTTGTGCTCATTACATTATGTGATGCAGGGAATGCTCTTTTTCTGTCCATAGGAAGAGTCTTTAGACATTGTTTATTCCTCAGCATTGAGGCAATCATTGGGATTCTTGGTGGAATGATATTTTTTCCTGCAACTCACTTTCATCCCGGGGAACTTTGCACATTGGTGACTTTCTATAATTCTAATGTATTTTTGGTGAGTCATGTTTTCTGGGGATTTGCCCATATGTCTCAACCTTCCAAATTTATTGGAATAGTCACAATATCATCTTTTAAAAGTATTATTAACTTCTCAGCTTTGATTTTAACATTTTAAGTCAGATATTATTGGTGTCTTCTCTTTAGGAAGTGCTGCCATCTCTCTAGAGATTTAGTAATTTTGTTATTCCTCAGAATAACTGCATTTTGAATTTATGTTTCCATAATGCATTACACAATACTTAAAGGTTTTTTCACTTTGTTCTTACTAAGAAATTTTTTTGGAATTTAGTGAAACATCAGTGATAATTTCTTTTTTAGAATTCATTATAATTCTGCTATGATAAATTATTCTGTTCAGTTAAACTCTTGTACTTTGCTCTCATTCGGTTCAGTGTTTGCCATATGGCTGCATGTTCTAGTGAAAATGGAGGTTGGGATTTGATAGAGACGCATGTGTTGGTGAAGGCATTAGGTGCAGAGGATGAACTGAGCTGCTCAACTTCCTGGTTGTCTGACTCCCCCTTTACTTGGTGGTTCTGAAATTGCATTGCCTTTGTTATGTGTCTTACTACAGTGGTGGATTCCCCTCCATGTTCTGATCCTTTCATGTGTTTGGACGTTCAGTGTTGATTCTCACAGATTTACAACCTTCATTATTGCCATGTGCACTTCATTATATCCAGCTCTTTTGTTCCATAAATATTTGTTTTCCAGTGTTATTTGGCATGCACTTGCTTTCTGTTGCTTAGTTTGTATTTTGTTATCTTCCTTTATTTTGGATTTTGTCTTTCGTCTTTATTGGACAGGTTTCTTTTACAAACGTTGCAATTATCTTGAAGCTTCATGTATCTAATGTTTAATGGACACACCTTATGTTTGGAAGTCAAAATTGGCCCTATGTATCATGCCCCATCCAATCACTTTTGGATTGTGCATTGTATTTGTATGGATGCATTGGACAGCACATACTTGGGATGTGGTATTTTTGACTCTTGCATTCTCTGCTTTTACATTGTGATTTAGACTGTTTTCAGCTTTGTGGTGGTATAATTGGTAGATGATAGCCTATTTGATAGCTAACATATTGGGATGATTTGACATACATTTGATATGAGTGCTACAACTAAGTTCATTAGCATACCAGTCACCTTCCATAGAAACCTTATGTGTTGGGGAGAGCATTGTAAGAGCTATGTTGTGAGCAAATATCAATGATATAGTACATTATTATCAAGTATATTCCACTCATATTGCAGCAGCTATCCAGAAAGTATTCATCTTCTGACTGCAAGGTTGTACCCTTTCACTAACATCTCCCTCCCCTACCTCATCACTCCTGAGAATCACCTTTCCTCTGTTTCTCAAACTTTGATCTTTTATAGTCCATATAGAAGTGACATCATAACTAGAAATCTATATAGAAAAGAAAGGTAATGTGTGCACAATAAAGACAATTGAGATAGTAAGTCTCTGAGAGAATGATATAGGCAACTTCAAAATCAACAAACACAGATATTAAAGATATTAATTTAGAAGTCAGCCTCAGTGACTGTCATACCATTCCTGTTCTCACTATTTGTGAACCAACTCACTCTGTTTCCCCTAAAAGTGTTCAAAATATGTTTGGGCCAAAATGTTTATCTTACATGTGTTGCAGGGAGAGCAACTCAGTGATGATTTGAAACTGGGCTCATCAACTGTCATGTGACTTCTTTTTGGGGCCCAAAAGTTTTGTGGTATGGGCTATCCTGTGCATTTTGGGAAATTTAGTGCATGGTGGGAAATTTAACAGCAATCTTTTATTTATTTATTTATTTTTTTGGCAGGCAGAGTGGAGAATGAGAGAGAGAGACAGAGAGAAAGGTCTTCCTTTTGCCGTTGGTTCACCCTCCAATGGCTGCTGCGGCCAGTGCACTGCGGCCAGCACACTGTGTTGATCCGATGGCAGGAGCCAGGTACTTATCCTGGTCTCCCATGGGGTGCAGGGCCCAAGCACTTGGGCCATCCTCCACTGCACTCCCTGGCCACAGCAGAGAGCTGGCCTGGAAGGGGGGCAACCAGGACAGAATCCGGTGCCCCAACTGGGACTAGAACCCAGTGTGCCGGCGCCGCAAGGCGGAGGATTAGCTGAGTGAGTTGCAGCGCTGGCCTTAACAGCAATCTTGGCCTCTACCCACTGTGTGACAGGAGCTCTGCACCACGTGTGAGGCCAAATATGTCTCCAAACACTGTTGGTTGGATGAGGGGAGGAAAAAAAGCTCCACTTGAAAACTCCATGCTACTTCCTTCTGTATTTTAAAAATGAATTACATATTCAGAGTGTCATAATATGTGGGTGGTTAAATGTTTTCTGTCTTGAAAGAATTGTGTCTGCAATCTAAATTGTAAAAAAGAAGTTCAGATATTCATAGTACTGTACATGTATCAGAAATGTAGTGTTCTTTAGAAAGGATAGGATATACACATATCATCAGAGGTAAGAAGCAATCTAATACTCTGAAGAAAAAAATACTTTTAATGTAATTTGTCATTCACAGATAACAACATGCCCTAATGGGAATGTAGGATGTGAGCATCCCGGTTCTCCTTCTTCATATCAGTTATTTCAGTAGTCTGAGGTTCAAACACTGCCCACTATTCTATTTCTGGAAGTGGCACAGCCATGTCTGAAATAGAAAATTTGACCATTTGTCCTCCCTCCCTGACACTGAACTGTCAGTCTTCACATTCTTCAAACATTCCTTGTTAAAAACATCATGTCGCAGTACAATCTATTTATTTTTCAGTGGATGCAACCTTACCTAACTGAAACATTGATATGTTTCCAGGTGACACAATTTTGAGCTTCTTTCTCATAGCTCAGATTTCTATTGGTGTCATGGCCAATTCATTTCTCTTCATTATCTATATTTATGCCTTCCTAATCAAGCCTCAGCTGAAGAAGCCCATAGATTCCATTTTCATGCACCTGACAGTGGTCAATATTATAACCATCGTGTTCCAGTCAATACCAGACATAGTGTCATCCTTTGGAGTCAAACGTTTCTTAGATAATGTTGGCTGTCAAAGTTTTTTTTACATCTACAGAGTCACCCGGGGTCTCTCCATCTGCACCACCTCTCTCCTGAGTGTATTTCAAGCCATCACTATCAGTCCCAGTCATTCTAAATGGGCAAGGCTGAAATCTAAGTTGTCTACCTGGATTTTCCCCTCTTTCCTAATCTTCTGGATCATCAACATGCTGATCTACATCCACATCATTGAAACTCTAAGAGCCAAATGGAATTTCACTGTCATTGGTCATGGGTTTGTTCATGCGTACTGTCAAACCAGGCAGTCTGGAGATCGCCATTCAGGGTCATTTGTAAGTGTCATGTTGACTCGTGATTTCCTGTTCATGGCACCAATGATCGTGTCCAGCCTCTACATGGTGGGGCTCCTCTACAGACACCACAGGAGAGCCCGGCACATCCACAGCTCCAGCCTTTCCAGGCAGACGTCTCCAGAAAACAGAGCCACCCACACTATCCTTTTGCTAGCATTTTGTTTTGTGTTCTTTTACTGTTGCAACAACTTTGTGTACATTTATGCATTTTATAGACCCGAGAAAGACTCAAGATTGGAGGACATTAATGGAATATTATCATCATGCTACCCAACATTCTGCCCATTTTTGCTGATGAAAAATACCAAAAATATTCCCAAATTGACTTCTTGCCTTTAATGAGAATGCCTTTTTCTGCAAGAGCTTTCCTTGGTTGATGTGACATCATTTACTCCAGAGGAGTCTATAAAGATTTTATCAGGAAACAAAGGCAGGTGACCATGGACCTAATCTCACTTGAAGTATTCGGCTCACTTAAAAAACACATTTCAAAAATGTTAAATTGAATCAATATATAAATTTTCAAACTGTATACATGTTTAAGTTATGCTGTGGGTGTAATTAACGTATTGTCTATTATTAAAGCTAGTTACTTCTTTTAATGCACCTACTGTAAAATGCAGAATTGTATTTGGCATTTGCATCAGATTTGTTCAGCTGTGCTGCTCCTAAGAACTTCCTTCTTCACTTACAAAATTTTAACACCCAGGTCTCATTTTTCAGGGACTTGGATAGATGCTGGCTGTGTATCAAGTGACCTCAGGAGATAAAACACAGGAATTCCTAAAGAATGGGATGCAGGAAAAATAGATGGCCCTGTGTAAAGAGCTCAGAAAACAGAGGTGATGAAGATGGGAAATCTAGGAGGTTCATTGTTTAACAATGAAATGCAGGGGTGTCCCCCAGCATGTGCATAAATCCTTCCATCAAGATCCCCTCCCCTTCTCATGCTCATATCTGTGTTATTAGGATCCAGTCCCTTGTGCTGTCCAGGTGTTGTGTGCTGCAGTTAAATACCCACCAGCAATGGCCTGAGGCTTTCCCAGTGGTTGGGTTGTAGAGACTTTCAGTGTATTTACTTCATAAAACCTTTTTAATCAATGTAATTTTTTCCCAATTTCATCTTCCCTATCTTAAAGTCTCTAACCCACTTAACTTGTTGTTCCGTTCTGTTCCTCAGGGACATCAACACGTGCTCTGCAGCTTGAATCCTAGCACATGTCTTTGTCCCCAAGGCTGATGGATTTCACCTCACATTTCCGTTAGATTCCGAGGGTTGGATCCCTGTCTTTCAGGAGCTCACAGTTCCACTCTCTTCGGTTTTCTGTGATTCCAACCCATTATCTAACTCCAGAAAGAGGCTCTTCCTGTGAAGAAACTCTGTTCATTACAGGAGCTCATAAAATTTGTGCTTTATCCTGCTGTGTCAGGGTGACATTTGGAAATACCCCTCAGCGACCTTCAACTAAGAACTGGTCCATCGCTTAGTGGTGGTCTGTCTTCCACCATTGCCTCTTTTGGCTCCGGGATTTCTCTGGTCCTGAGCAGATGTGGCTGCCTCCTGGACGGCTCTCCACGTCCCCCTCTGCCCTCGTCATGGTTTCATTCCCTTGATCAGTGCAGTTTGAAATAGACTTTTCCTCTAATTACCAAATCCAATTCCTGTTTTGTGGCCAGCTGTCTTCTCCTTCAGAAGTAGTTTTGAATGTTGAAGTTCAGCAAATTCTCCGCAATTTCCTGTTCCACGGATTTTGGAGTGGACCCCCATGCACCAGCACCCAGATCCAGAAGCGGAACAGTGCCGCTTCCTCCATCCCTCACGACCCCCCTCCCCCGTCTCCACCGTGCCCCGTCCTTGTCTGGTCTTGTGCTGTTGCCCGTTCATCCATGAGGCGCTCTTGCGTGTCCTGCGTCCTCTCGGAGGTGGTCTGTGTAAGAGCGCCTCTGTCCTGGGTCTGTGTAGGCTGTAAGAGAGTTGCGGGGTCTCCTGCTCAGGCACTTGGCCACGCAGAGGCGACATTGCAACTCTGGTCTGCTGGCTGGTGCTCAGGCCGCGGAGCCGCTCAGGAAGCACCGCCCTGAGGTCGCGGGGAAGTGACGTCATAGACAGAGCCCGGGTGCAGAGGCTTCTGGGCCCTGTGCTGAGGCGGCCGGGAAGTCCTCTCTGTTACCAGGTTTGATGAGTCCTTCTCTACAGCTTGGTGGAAACAATAAACATCCTACACAGGTATTTACCCTAGAAAGCCAACATTCACAAGAATTCCCTTTGAGAGAAACTGCCCCCAACATTTCCTCCAGGCTCCTTGCTGTGGCCTGCCTGAGCCCTGCCTGGACCATTTGGGAAGGGAACCAGCTGATGAAAGCTCTGCTCTCTCTCTGCCTCTTCCTCTCTGTAACTGTAACTTTCAAATAAATAAAATCTTTTAAAAGAAATGTAATAAGGCCACAATTCCAGTGGAGTGTAAACACGGGCTGAAACTCACAATCATATCCCAGAGTGACCACTTCATTCCTACACAGTTTTTTGTATTAATATTAGCTGTCACTTATCAGATGTTGTCTTAATACAAATTTTGTATTTCTATGTGCATATTAAGAAGATTTTTATAAATTGTTTAAATTCATAGAATGATTAATAATGGAAAAGTTGCAAAGCACAGTGGGAATCTTATCAGCGTACTTTATTCGTTAACGTAAATACAATGCAGAACAACAGTGGGGTGTCAAACATGTGAGGAAGACATTTAACACCCTTGACCTACCCGCATAGAACAGTAATTCCCACAATTATGCAAAATCCTCATGTTTCTTTCCCTGCACAGTCGAGGCACTTGGAAAAAGCAACTGTGTAGTGAATACACAGTGAGTGTTTACAGGAGTCAAGAGTTTAATTCATCTAGACACGTGTGATCTGTGTATAGTCATAATAAGTACAAGACTAGAAGTAAATTATTTTTTTAAAAAAGACTTCATTAGGGGGCTGGCACTGTGCGCAGTGGGTTAATGCCCTGACCTGAAGTGCTGGCATCTCATATGGGCACCGGTTCGAGTTCTGGCTGCTCCACTTCCAATCCCGCTCTCTGCTATGGCCTGGGAAAGCAGTAAAAGATGGCCCAAGTCCTTGGGCCCCTGCACCTGTGTGTGAGATCTGCAAGAAGATCCTGGTTCCCGGCTTCAGACTGGCGCAGCTCCAGCTTTTGCAGCCAATTTGGGAGTGAACCAGCGGATGGAAGACTCTCTTTCTCTCTCTCTCTCTCTCCCTTTTTCCCCTCTCTGTAACTCAAATACATAAAACTTTAAAAAATTAAAAAAGATTTATTTGAAATGCAGAATTACAGAGAGACAGAGGAAGAGAGTGAAAGGTCTTCCAGCTGATAGTTTCCTCCCCAAATGGACCCAAAGGCTAGGGATTTGTCTTTCTGAAACCAGGAGATTTTTCTACATCTCCCAATTGGGTGCAGTGGCACAAGCACTTGGTCCATTTTCTGTTGTTTCCCCAGTCACATCAGCAGGGAACTGGACTGGAAATGGAGCATTCGGGACAAATAAGCACCCATAGAGGATGTTGACACCACAGGCATCAACTTTATCTGCTACACAACATGCCAGCCCCCAAATAAATATTGAATAAGAAAGAGTACTCATAGACCTTATCCATATACATTCAACCTAAGAATATTATTTGTAAATAACAGAGAAAAGTGAACTAAAATTCCTTCCTATAAAGTCCATTATGAAAATAAGTGTGAGGATCAAATGAGCACCTTTAAGAAAACAATGATACTAGAACAAGTACAGCAGGGACCGGTAATAGGCAGCAGGTTAACCTCCTGCTTGTAAGCCACCCCGCCCGTGGAGTGTCAGCTGCCCCACGGTCCAAGCAGCTTCCTTATGGGGTGCCTAAGAAAGCAGCACCTGGGCCCAAGCAGTTTCACAAATGGGATTCCTGGCTCCTGGCTTCAGTGTGGACCAGCCTCAGGCATTTTGACAATTTGGGGAAATAACCATCAGATAGAAGGTATTCTCTCTCTGTCTCTCTATCTCATTTTGCCTTTCAAATAAGGCACACTTAACTCTATTAGGCCTTTGGGACCCCCTCACCAAGATGACCATTATGTTTAGTAACACTAGATTACCAGACTTTACAATTTTTAGACATTTGTATCAATACTATTTTATATCATGACATAATACAGTAAAAATTTGATCATTATTACAAGGTGATTATTTAAAGATTTGAAAATAAGCACATATTTAAATAACCCATAGCTCTTAATAAAAACTTAATTGTTTTTAAACAGAATTTAACAGAGACATCAAGAGAACGTAATAGATTGCTTTAACTCATTGCTTTAACAGAGAACCAGTAATAGCCTTTATATTCAAAAATTTCTTTTTTTTATAACTTTTTGTGACTTTCACACACCCTCTTTAACTTACTTGAAGCATTCTATCATTTTTATTTTAATCTAGAGTAAACTAGCCATCAGGATGAAGTAATTTTTACAAACTATGTCCTTTATTTAAAAGAAACTCTTTTCATTTTGACCTTTTTTTTACCAAGCACATATCTCTATACTTGTGATGTTTTCCATCTGCCAATTTTCTTGCTTTACATTTTTTTTGACAGGCAGAGTGGACAGTGAGAGAGAGAGACAGAGAGAAAGGTCTTCCTTTGCCATTGGTTCACCCTCCAATGGCCGCCGCGGCTGGCGCGCTGCGGCCGGCGCACCGCGCTGATCCAATGGCAGGAGCCAGGAGCCAGGTGCTTTTTCCTGGTCTCCCATGGGGTGCAGGGCCAAGCACCTGGGCCATCCTCCACTGCATTCCCTGGCCACATCAGAGAGCTGGCCTGGAAGAGGGGCAACCGGGACAGAATCCAGTGCCCCGACCGGGACTAGAACCCGGTGTGCTGGCGCCGCTAGGCGTAGGATTAGCCTAGTGAGCCGCGGCGCCGGCCCGCTTTACATTTTTTTGACAGGCATAGTGGACAGTGAGAGAGACAGAGAGAAAGGTCTTCCTTTTCCCGTTGGTTCACCCCACAGTGACTGCTGCGGCTGGCCCACTGTGCTGATCTGAAGCCAGGAGCCAGGTGCTTCTCCTGGTCTCCCTTGTGGGTGCAGGGCCCAAGCACTTGGGCCATCCTCCACTGCACTCCTGGGGGCCACAGCAGAGAGCTGTACAGGAAGAGGAGTGACCGGGACAAAATCCAGCGCCCCGACCAGGACTAGAACCTGGGGTGCCAGTGCTGCAGGCAGAGGATTAACCTACTGAGCCACAGCACCTGCCTTGCTTTACATTTTGAAATAACATATTAAAAAGACAACATTTTTAAACAAGGTAACACATCAAATTTTAGTATTAATTACTTTTAAGTGATGTTGAACTATTTTTTATATGGACAATCTATGAAAACACATTAGCAAATTCAAATAGTTTTTCTATAGAACATAAGATGTTCAGAGTACCAAAGTTTACATTTAGACACATTTATTTTATTTGCCTTTACCCAATTTAAATTAGCAGTTACACCTAAATGACTTAAGATGCTGATATTATATATCTCTATCTGAATTTAATTAAAATTAAAGTTGTATTTATCTAAAACAAGTGCTAATTACCTATTAGTGTTTCATTGAGTACTGACTCCCCAGAAATTTGTTAAAACAAATTGCAAAATAAGTTCAGCAGGTTACAAAGCAATATCTTCTGGCTTGCTCAAGATAAAACAGAAGAGCCATCAGAAGGGTGGGATACCCAATTTGTTTCATTGATAAGACAGGGAAAGTAGACTTTGGACCAGGCCTTGTTCTAAGATAAAGTTCAAATTCTGAGATAAGGCAAGTGGGAGGAGAGTTACCCAGTCTCTAGGCCAAATTCAAATTTCGTGCCAATCTTGCATGCTGCTGCTTTGAGACCCACCAACAGAGCCTGGTGATAGACATGGAGTCTCTCCTTACCTTGTGCCATGGGGCCCCAGCCTAAGAGGCAGA